GCGCCAGCTCCCTCGGGCGGAATATTCAGCGGCTCTTTAAAACGCGAGAGGTTCTGCCCTGTGCTTGGCCGGTTAAAGGGGAAGGGGTGTACGATAGCGACTCGGGGCCCTCCCTGACCTGGGGAAGCGGAGTTCCGTGCTGCGTGTCGCTCCCGGGGCGTGCCGAGACCTCGCGTTGGCTGTACAGCCCCTCTCTGTGTGTGCTCTGCTGCTTGCAGCTTGCCTGGAAGTGCTGCATAGGTCCTCTAACAGCCTTGCTTACAGGAAGTTAGAGATGCAGTGTGGATCTGAAAAATCAGAGAGACCAACTTTTGGGTTGTTAAAAAGGGGATGGGGACTGCCTTTCCCAGAAACGAGGCACAAACAGGCACTAGGCCAGGCACTCACAGTGTTTTAAAATATTTTGGAGCTTCCTGGTAAATCATCATCATCTCAGGCATTTAAGTTACTTGGGAGAGAGCATTAGGAAGAAGAAGTTGCATAGTGAAATGCACACTGGAATCTTAATGGGTCTGACTCCTAGAAGGCTCTGTGAGGGTACAAGTGAGAGACATGAAGAGCCAACTCTAATGCCTATCAACCTTTTTGTGCATCACACAAAACCTGGAGTTGTTTCAGAATCCTAGCATTACCTGTTTTGTCACACTAACATTTAAATCATGCAGGTGGAAGTCCTAGAAATGTATCACTATCTAGCGCTAAAACTAACTTCTTCTAATGTGTGAGTTATACAGAGATGCTGAAAACCAAACCAAACATCAGTGTATGTTTGAAGTCACGGTTCTAAGTCAGGCCAAACAAACTTCTATGAGAAGACTTAATTTACACATTTATTTACAGTTTGAAAAACAAGAACATTCCCATACAACCTCAAAATATTTACACTGTGCAGTGAAGTTAGGAAGACTGTCTCTGCACACTGATATATCTGAAGTGAATCAGAAATTCCATATACACAAAGTACACACACGGACATTCCAGAGAGCAGAATTAAATAAAGAAACATTTGTACACTATAACTGAAGCAAATCTGTCTTGAAGCAAAAATGATGCAGCATGTTACAGAACAATATCTCTATAAAGCTTTAGCTAGCTTTAACTTCACAAATGCTGTTAAAAACGCAGTCAAGAGCGGTCATCGCATTTAAATTTAAACCACGATCTCTGTTAGAACTTTGCAACTAACTTCATTATTATTTAAGGAAAGGGCTAACTACTCTTCTGTTAAAGACAAATGTGGAAAAATAATTCAAAGCCATAATTTGGAAAAAAACCCCTTTAAGGCATTATAAAAGCATAAGTTATTTTTTTAAAAATTTGTTTTGAAGTTAATTATAATTTAGATTAATACCAGTAATAAGTATGTTGTATATTTCTCTATGACTTAGTTTTAAATTAAGGGCTTACAAAGCTTCCTGGGAAGGAACCTTTTTTCTCTCTAATTTTAAAATAATTCCTAGCTTTTTGTGGTATACACGTAAGTAGTGGTGAAAGTGGTGCATCAGCCATACCTGGAGAGAGAGACAGATAATTACAGCTTAGCTCAACCAATATTTACCTTTCATAACTGTTACAAAACTAAACACGGAGCTGGAGTATCTATGTACAAACTAGTAATTCTAAGAACAAACTGGTATGTGTTTAGATATAAGTTTTTATAGCGGTAACATTTTTATTCTACTAAATTTCTATGTATTTTTAAACCAACTCTGAAGGTTCTCCCTTATGCAAGATACAAGCAGAATGTAAGATGACAAAAATATCTAACTGTGGGTTTTTCGTCCACGTCAGAGCTGAAACACTTACCTGCTGGTGACAAAGATTTCAGCGATTCTAAAAGATGTGGACTAGAAAACTTGACCAGACATCTGAATGGTTCTCTCTTATCCAAAACACCCATTTTAGGATCACTTTTAAACATCGTCTCAAGCTGTTAAGATAAAATTTAACCAGGAGTATAAGCAATGAATATACTTAATTTGTATGTTATTTTTTAAACATCACATTACAAATGGAATAGGTCATAAGACTCTGTCTTAGCTGTCTGTTATTTGTAATGTTAACATGATTCCAGCTGGAGGAATTTTTAATGAAATCAGAGGATGCCACCATGTGGTAAACAGTTTTCTGCTGAAAGAGGCAGTTTGTTCAGTGATATCATAAAACATTAAGTATCTCTTGCAATTTTTAATATATCTGTTCATCAGATAAAATCCATTCGTCATCCAAGAAGTTAAATTACAGTGTTCTATGTAGCGTAAGCTTTGTATGTACTTGAAATAACCATGATTTCTCATGCTTCACACACACCATGGTGTGAGTCTACCTTTATTACAAAAACAAGTCAAAACGCTTAGTTCACAAGGCTGAAAGACTGTAACATGATCTAGTAGTCTGACCAAATCCAACGCAAATGTTTAACTTATTTTAAAATGTCCTCCCTAAAGTTGTAAAAAAAAAAAAATCTAGTATTTCTTCAATTTGCAATTTAGTGTAGCTACCACTATATTAAAATTATTAAAGACCCCAAAAGTTTTTGCTTTTACTACCTTATATTGTGCAAATTCTAGTTTTGGTTGGGGACCATCACCAAAAATGTCCTGATTCACTCTCTGTATTCTTGCTTTCTCACTTTTATTTTCTTGAATTATTCTTAAATCTGCTGCAGGGAAAAAGAGTAGGGAAGAGAAAAAACAGAAAGACAATTTTGTCAGCTGATTCAATACTGTTTTTCTGGTCAGGTGATTACTCCAGTGAAAATCTGAAAATATTAATTTTAAAGAATTCGTCCTGATCTTTTTTTCCTAAGCTAGTTGTCTCCATCATTTATGTTTTCAGTTCTTACCAAGAGAAAAACCCAAGCTAATATGAAAGGAGATGCTGGGCATTGGGTATTTTTGGTTTCATAACTGTGTCCAACGTGAGCTATGGGGAAATATTTACATCTCCTAGTGACAGCCAGTATTGTGGCACCCCACCAGGGATGGATAACAATGCAAATATAACTTATGTACATTTTCTATTATGAATCTCATTTCAGAAGCCAGCAGTGACATTCAGACTGCCATTTAATTTAAAATATACACACCACTTTCTGGTGCTACATTCCTTTCTTGGAGAGGTCTTGGATGATAAGTTTGGAAGTTCTAAATGGAGAGAGAGGGAGAAAAAAAAAAAAAGGTTTTAGTTCACTTCCACTTTTAGAGGCTGTAGCTGAAAAGAACTTTTGAGATTTCTTTTTACTTCTCATTCTGAAAGCGAGTAGTCTTCCAAGTTTTGACAATTACTAGAAGTCAGAAAGCCCAGCTTTGTTTTGAGAACGGAATGCCCATCCTATGACATTTGTGAACATGTCCCTATTTACAAGTTTTACATGGATGAGCAGAGTAAGTGCCCATTCTGATAGCCTTCAGCTCATTGCTCTAGGAAGCCCAGTGAAATGATGTAAAAAAATCCTAGGACTGAATTGTTCATACAATGTTTAGACTGAGTTTACCATCAGGAATAACAATAATAAAGAATAGGTGGGATTCCAAATAATTACATTCCCATTATAAAGTTACCTTAATGAAAGGTTGTCAGTATTTCAATATTATTTTAACTTGATGGTCTGTTGGAAGAGACCATCTGCTACACCCCTGCTAGGGGGTGAGAACGAGGCCTGAAACAAAAAGCAAGACTTATCTTCAGATGTACTTGTGAAGTAGGATGTACTTGTGAAGTGGCTCACCTGGCTGTATCTCTTAAACACAATATCTTTAAGGGAGTCTAAAGAATGACTTCGAAGCTGCTTTTCATGGATGTCATGGTAACTGGAAGCAATAACCAGGGCCTTTAAATAAAAATCAAAATTGTTTTAACATCATTCTTAATCGTCATTTTGTTTACAATATGGAAAAAGTGCCGTATTTCTAGGCATCGCAATGTTTTTGTTTCAAAGTCAGCAACGGCCCTTTAACTAGCAGGATTCGCGTCTGAAAAAATGTTGAATAGTCTGTTATTAAGCTTCAGTTAATATTTAAAAGCATTCACAGGATTAGCCAGATAAGCCTATAGCCTTATTAGCTGAAAGATAAATAAATAAAACAGATAAAATAATTAAATTACTAGTACAGAAGTCTGCTAAATAGATAAAAAATTAAAGACCACCAATGCTGATCACTGTGAGTTGACAGAAAATGTCCTTTAAAACTAGTTAATAGCATTCCCTGATGAGCTCATACATTTAGTTCTTAAAGTTAATGGTGTTGATGTAATATTCTTCAACTTCTATGAGTCAATTTAACTGAATATATATATATAAATACATATAAACCCATTTGGTTAAGAAATTAGAATAATTCAAGGTCAGTAAAAATCCCAACAAACGGAATTTATTCATGATGCACCATTGCAAAGGTCACCAAGATTGGGTTTTGCCCCATTTTTATCATGGGGTAAGGGAAAAAAATGACTGTGTAAATTAGTAAATTACATTACTTGATGAATCTTTACCCATCCTCTTTAAAAGCTAACACAATTACAGCTCCGCATGACTGCAGTGAAGTCAGACTCTACAGAGTTTTACTCTGTACCTGACATAGCAGAGGCAAGTTGCTCTTAAGCATTGAGGCAGAAATGAAGACATAGGAAGTCTGTGAGTGGTACACAACGTAGCTGGGTTTGTACTGGTTTGGTCTTGTATACGGTGTTCCCCAGGCAATTCTAATCCAGATTGCATTATCCTCATATTCTCTAAAGTTGATGGTGACCTAATAGAAAAAGAAAAGCTTTGATTTACCAGCACATTCACATGCCCAGAAAGATTTTTGTCCTCTCTTAACCCTGTGTTACCAGACCCAAACATGATTTAGTACACCACCGCTTGCATAAGAAACAAATCCCATCGGTGTGGTCAGGATTGTATTTAAATCAAATTTCCACAGAAAAATGATAACCTCAAAAACTGGGGGGGGGGTGGGGGGAAGAATATCACTTTTCAGACTCTAATGTGACTTTTGTTCCTGTTGATGTGTATTTTCTTCTTAAGAGTGAAAATAAAAATAGGTTATTAAAAAAGCCTTGAGGCTCTCTTTTGGGAAAACAACCACACAACAAAAAGGTGTCTACTTAGATGGAAGGCAAGTGGCAATAATTCCAGTATGTCTAATTTTTGAGAAACTAAACATTTGATCAACTTGTGAATTAGACCCAAATATATTATTTATCACTACTCAAGAGTACACAATCAGAAATTTGAAGAAGATTCCCTTTCTCGTTTTTGTAGATTTGCTCCTCCTTTACTTCTTTTTACCTTGACTCAACCTGTGTGACTTAAAAGTGGGAAAACTTCCTTAAAAAAAGCCAACAAAAACCTCCTTTTGACTGAGGTACAGTTTCAGTCCAGCTAGGTCATAAAACGTTTAAATTCCTGGCCCAACATTACTTCTCAAAGTTTTTGTGGAATTCTTTTAAAAATGAAAATATTGCGAAACTTTATTACAACATAGTTAAATGAACCGCCGTTGGTTCTCTGGGAGTCTGGTTTGTATTTGTTGCCCTCTGCTGTTGGCAGTGGGAATCGTTTGTGCGTTGCGTCAAGAAGTCACCCAGCTAACTAGCCATGGGTATTTTCTATTACCTTGCTTAAATGAAGCTGGTGAGCTAAAGCAAGAAAAGGCTTCTGCACATTGCTTAGGAAAAAAGTGAGATGATAGTATTCCTTTCCATTTTTTTCTTACCACGTTCATTTCTGTTGTCTAGAAACTGATTCTTGGTATTGACAGTGGTCTTTCAGTCATTACAGTGTAGTGAAATACAGGGCCAAGTTCTCACAGTCAACCCAAAAGACCATTTCAAAACCAGAACTAAAAGGGAACAGATACAATTTTGCTACTAACGTAAGTCACAATAACTGAACTTCCTTGTCCTGCTTGCTGGCTGCTTCAAATTCCCTCTGTAGTCTGATCTGATTTTTGTTGTCTGTGTATTGTTATAGGGTTACAGGACAAAGCAATATCTACTTACCTGGGCAACATATACACTCAAACAGGGCGAAGAGTTGCTAGAAAACATAAACATGCTGCCCTCCTTGAAGCCTATCATATTTTAAGGCAAACTTTTATTTTGTTTTTATTTTATTCCAGCATAATTGTAAAGCTGCTAGAACAGATATACATTTTTCCTATTTTGCATGCAGTTCCTACCATACCCAAATGAATAATTCCATATCATTTGACTGTAAGAAAAAAAAACCCACCTCACTAAAGTTATGAAAATGATCTCTCGACACCAGAAGTGTGTAACAAATTTAGAATGGATTTAATTCTTACATTTTTCAAGGCTGACCGAAGTCGTCTCCTAATTTTTTTTTTGAAGTCTGTTAAATCAAAGAATTCCGTTTCTTCCCCTGTTACACAAGAAAAAAAATAATTGTGTTTACAATAACTAGTTCAGAGATGTTTTTAGTTTTGATGAAACAAAATTAAGCAGAAAAAGCTGAAGTTGCATAGCCTTACACAAAAAGCTGTATATTAAATTTGAGACTCATTATTGCTATACAGAGAAAAAGTTAGTATTTAATTGGTTACTAATTTCTCATAATTGCTTGAGAACTTAATAGAAAGTATTCTAAAAGCATTAAAGATATCTTCATCGAAAAATCCATACTAGACTATAGTTAAAGATCTCTCTACTGAAAAAATCCATACTAGACTGTATTTGTGTTTAAAAGGTATGAAGCGAGGCAGCACTGTGGCGTGCTGCTGAGAACTGTGAGATGACAGCAAGGAAAGACATTTTACCTGCTTTGTTCATCTGGTAAACACTCCAGAGTCTTTTGTTTCGATAGGTATGGTTGTCTAAGAAAAACAGGAATTGCTCAATAACATGGTGTATTACCAAACAGTAATTAAAGGAACAAACAATTTTGAAATACTTTTATGACCAGGTTATTTAAAAAAAATAATGTAATAATGTAATATAATGTAATATAATTTATTCTGAAACTATCACTCACAGCAAACGTAAAACTAAAATAGCTTTTTATTAAGAGATGGAAAGATCTTTTGTAATTCAGTTAAGCAACTAATAAAGGGTACCTCTGAGGTTCAATGTTTAAAGGATTTTACCTAAAATGATTGAAACTCAGTCTAAAACTAAGAAATGTAGACTGTTAAAAGAAACCTTGAGATTTAAACTATTTTATTTTTCAAGTTGTGAATTAATATTGGAGTTAAGGGTTCCACCTGGAGTATTTGACAATACTTTTTCCTATGGCACTATTGGAGCACAATATTCTGCGTTTGCTGCATACTGGAGACAAACCTATCTCTACACTTACAACTCTGTGCTGGCTGGGGCTTACCACAGCTTACATCTGTTTAGACCTCAGAAGAAGCAAAAGTGCTTTTGTTGATTTTGACCTCTTGATTTTTTTTTTTTTTTAAAAGGTCAGATCCAATAAGATTCATCATCTAAAATGTAATCTGTTCACACCAAATGCATCTGTACCTCACTAAGGCAATTGCTATGTAATTAAGGGCATTATCAAGCTACTCAAAAAAAAAAAAAAAGAGAAGTTATTTTTATTAATTTTTAACTTACAAATTATGTCTAGGTCAGCTGCTTGCTTTATTCCTGCAGAATTTTCCTGGAAAGAAGAATAACAGTGCATTGTGAACTGCAGGTCCAGAATGCTCTACCACACTGTTCAGTAAGTGAAAAACACTGAAGCCCGCCATGTACACCCTCCTTAAAGACACCACACCTGGTCCCCACGTGCACACAATACAGTTTTGAGAAATCAAGAACAACAGCTATTTCAGCAAGGTTTAAGTGTGCCTCTGCAGAGGCAGCCGGAAGAATGTTGTCCGTACAGCATGATGTACAAGCAATTAGAGAATAAAATTAATGAGTATCCATAACATTATGCAACACACTAGTATTTCACTGTCAGGAATTTTAACCTGTTTGGTTCCTCCTTATTTAACCTTTACATCATGAAAAGATTTCTAAGAAACTTTTTAACACCACTTATTACAGGTAGGAACGTTTCAGAAACAAATGCTATTTTAAAATATGACATTGGCTATTTTACAAGAATAACTTAACAGTTTCTTGCCTGCAGTTTGATCTACACTCCATGTAATTAATCTTTGGGTATGAAATTCAAAGGGAATGATACAAAAAGCTACAGAATTTAAGAGACACCAGTAATAACTATCTATCTGTGTTATGATACTATATATAAAGACTCCTGGTACATATAAAGATTCCTGGTACACCAAAGTCAGAGTACATAAGTAGGAGACCAGAAAACTTTTTTTGTTTACAGTATGCAGATCAAGTAGTTCTGGCCAAGGAAATCTTTCAAAAAAATCTGAAAAGTCTAAAAGATAAACTACTGCTTATCATTACCCATACTAAATAGATTTAAATTAGCACTGTGTAATGAATAAACATCTCGATCAACGCCTTTATTTTACAATTTAGAAACACCCCCCTTTCTTAAAGGTTTAACACACTGCTCAAAGCATGTACTTTCAAACTTAGTAAGGGTCAATCCTGCACTATCAATCAGCCAAAACTGATGGTATTACCAGCTTAAATTTGTATTTTTCAGACTACAGACTGCCATCTGATGCTGTGTTGTGGCCAAAGAAAATTCATTTCCTCATAAGAACGTTTTTTTGACGGTGTTTCAAACATGCATCCTGTATGTCACAGACAGGCAGTCCCCGAAGGAAAGGATTACCTCACAGAGTCGAACAACATCTTGAGCAATGTTGTCCTTTAACTGATGGAAGTTTATGGTTTGCAGCTGCATCTCTGAGAGAAAGCCCCATTTCTGTAGCATTGCCTTGATTTCAGCTCGTGGCATTTTTAGTACAGTTCTTCGGATATACTCAGCCACAGTTTCATCCATGATGAAGCTACCTGAAAAGTTGAAAGGTTAAAGAAGTTAAGATCAAGACATAGGCAGGCTCAGGAGATTCGCTCCCTTACTAAGGTGTACAAAGCTGTGCCCAGGCACGACTAGCAAAACACTGCCATCAGCCCTACGCGTGGCACTACCGCAGATTTCGGCGGACACCGACAACAGCGAGTTCAAACCCTTTCTACAATGATTTTTCCCCAAGCCCTCAGAAGCTTTCCTCACGGACGGAGGCCCGGTGCGAGCTTCTGGGGCGTGAGGAAGGCGCTGGCCCTCACTCGGGGCTGTTAATACCTGTCCGGTCCATTGGGTGTCCAGGAGGGCCTCAGACAGAGGGTACGGACGTGAAGGGGGGCACGGGGCAGGGAGCGGTGTGGAGCGAAGCGCCGCGCCCCT